CACCCGTCCCTCTGGCCAAGGGATTGGCCCAGAGATGGGAAGATAACTGATTTTGAGATCATCGATTTTGTGAAAGAACAAACCTCAACAGAGTAAATTTGAAGATCGGGTTGCTTTTATTAAAGGACTCATGAATTGGGCAGCTTCCCATCTAGCAACTAGGAGGGTGCTTAGGGGAAGGCAAAGGGTCTTTTCTGGCAGATTATGTCATTAGTGCTGACCAGGAAATTCCAGGCTGATTGGCTTACAAGTCCACTCTTGGGAGAAGCTGAACTGCAATTAAGTGCAGCATTAAGTCTTGGTGGTGCTTAGCAAAAGTGACTCAATTTTTAGGTCTGTTGTTTCGTTTTAACCAAATGCTTAGGGGAATCTTACCCAGGAAAGAATGAATGTGGGGAACTATTTTGCAACTTTGAGAAAACTGCAATACATTCAAACAGCATCCAGAAACCACCTCCCCTTCTATACTGTGACTTCCACATTGGATTACATCCCCTATTTCAATACCTCTGCTTAGTGTGGAGAGGCAGCCCAGCACAGGAGTTAACAGCACAAACTGTTGAGCCAAACTCTTGGGTCTTAATCTCAGTTCTGCTTACTAGCGATATGACCTTGGGCAAGACACTAGAACTCTTTTTTTTTTTTTAACGTTTTAATACAGATCAGCATGTCGGGTTCACTTCAGCTCCTTCACCTCCAAACCCCGGGGGCAGGGACTGCTTCAGCTTCTCGGCCTTCTCTTTGTCCGTGATGACCAAGGTATACAGGTATCTGCTGCACCGGACTTTGAACTTCACATTATCCTTATTTTTCTTGATCTTGACAGATTTGGCGTCCTTCTGTCGGGCTGTGAGCAGGAAATCCTTAATCTCCTCAATCTTGCGAGGCATGGCTTCGAGGCACGGAGCGTGCGGCCTGCGCAACAAGCAGTCAGAGGCGAAGAGGGTGAAAAAGAAAAAGCGACACTAGAACTCTTTATGACTCAATTTCCTCATCTGTAAAATGAAAATCATAGACCCTAGTTCATAAGGCTGAGGTTTAATGAATGAATACATGGAAAGCACTGAGAACATTTCCTGGTACAGGATAAGTGCTATATAAATATTAACTACTATCGTTGTTGTAAGGAATAAATAAACTAACAAGTGGAATGTGCTCAGAACAGTGCCTAGGACCTAGTGAACCCGATTACCCATCCATTATTGAGAACATTCATTCATTCATCTCTTCAGCAAATATTTACTGAGTGCCTTTCCTGTGCCAGGCCATTAATGTCTTCATTCTAGACCAGCCGTGTCCAAAAGAAACATAATGTGAACCATAAATGTGATCCAAATATGGATCATAAATTTGACCCAAATATGTAATTTAAAATTTTTTGGCAGTCACGTTAAAAAAGTAAAAAGAAACAAGCAAAATTACTTTTAATAAAATATTTTAATCCGATATCCAAATATTATTTCATTACGTAATCCATATAAAAATTGAGGTATTTCACTTTTTTTTATTCTAGAGCATTGTAATCTAGCATGTATTTTGTGCATACAGCGTATCTCAATCAAACTGGCCACACTGCAGCTGCTCAGCAGCCATATGTGGCTAGTAGCTGGCAGGCAGTTCTTTACATTAAAGGTTAGGGAAAGAGGGGAAATGTCATCTTTGTTCCCGACCCCATCTTGCTACTAATTACGTAATATTTTTTTCAAATTCTAAAGTCATTTACATTCATTATTTCATTTGATAGTGAAGTATGGTAGCAATCATCTCAGGTAGAAACTATAGTTTAACTTTAACCCTGCTGTTTGGTTTCTGTACTTATTTGTTTGCTAAAATAATGGAAAAGTTATTTTGATTTTCTGAATTATGTAAGTTATCCCCTTCGATTAAATACCCTATTGATTGTAATGTGAATATCCCATGGGTTGTGGTCATACTGGTCTTCAAATGTGCTTTCTAAAAGCACATTTTCCTTTACCTGGGAAGGACAGCACAATTATCCCAAGGTCAGAGGACTCCAGTTAATGTGTCCCTGTTGACTCAGTGTTCTGGGGACCCAAAACTGTGATTTAGATAACATGCTGCTTCTGCTTCTGTAAACTGCTTTTTTTGCAAACCAGGTTCCTCATTCCAGACCCAAGGGCTCTAGATAATGTGTTTCTGTCAATTCAGTGATCCGGAGACCCAAAACTATAATTTAGATAACGTGCTGCTTTGCTTCTGTAAACTGCTTTTTGCAAATCAGGTTCCTCATTCCAAACCCTGGGATGTAATCAATACCTTGTGATTTTTGCCTATAGAACTTTGGTATTGCGGCCATCTTATCATTATGAGATTTGGGGAATGGCCCCTCATAGTCCCGGATTGCAATAAATGGGACTCTTTAATTCGACTTCTTGAGGCGTCCTTCTGTGATTCTCGGGGTACGTTACAACAATAGGAACATGCCTCACCTTGAAGGATGGATTATGTTATAGGAGGTGGGGAAAAGTCCCATCAAGAGGAAACAAATGAGCAGAAGTAACAAGGAAGGAAAACCAGGGGTCTATCAGGAAAGTAGAAGTCAGAGAGAGAAACCTAAGAAAATGTATCAGGGAAGCCCTCAACAGTCTCCAGACCAAGGAGTCTGGGTGCTATTTCTCAGGTAGTGGGGAGAAACAAAGGTTGTCAGCAGGCAAGTGGCAAGATGCATCAAATAAGCAGCTAAATATAGCATGGAAGGGAGTGAGAGAGGCTAGAGGTAGTTCATTAGGAAATTATACCTTGGCACCCAGAAGTTCCCTTCCTCTTTCCAACATTGTTTTAAGTGCAAAATATAACTTCCGAAATGTAATTTTCATTTACATTTTAGATAAGGTGATTTAGGAACTTTTCTGAGATGAGACGTGATGAGAACTGGGAAAAAAAAAAGAATGCAAGCAGCCATTATGAGGACTCCACAAAAAAAGAATACAAAGTACAAAGGCCTTGAGATAGCAATGAGCTTGCCATACCCAGGGAACAGAAAGTAACCCAGTGGCTGGTGCAGGGGTGTACACACACAGCAGCACATAGGATGTGGTCCGTACTGAATGAATGACTGAGACATAGTTTCTTATTCCTGTCACCTCTGCAATGCTGGCATGCAGGAGCTATCGATAAGGAATAAGCAGAGGTCTAGAGTATTTTTCAGTTGCCTCACAATGTTACCGGAAAGGAGACCTGGCCCTTGTCGGGTCTGCCTAGGGCCGGCCGGTAGTGTGTGGGTTCTTGATTTCGTGCAAGAGAAGTTTCACAACATTGAGTCCAGATGACTATGAGGAAAGATTTATTAAAGCTGGGGACATAAAACAAGAAAGGGCTTAACATAGAAGCAACAGGAGAGCTAGGCTGGGCTGCCCTAGCTCTCTGGGGAGTCAGAGAAAAGAGAGCCTTGGGGTCAGGTTTAGGGGACTAGCCTGCAGAGCAGCTGCTGACCTTTATTCCCCAGGTTGCAAGCCTCATGGGTTCCCGTGGGGGTTAGGCGATGCATGCCTGTGGGGGAAGAAGTAGGGGGGAAAAGACAAAAGACACACTGGGTCCTTTGTCTTGAGGCTTTATTTCCTTCTGGAAGTTGGGAAAGTTAGGGGAGGTCTCAGGAGAGGGTTTTAGCAGAATTTTCATCCGTTTTCTAGGTGTGCTCCTCCAGGGCCTTGGTCTTCACTGATTGGTCAGTGTCAGGGCAGGGGGTCATCTGTCATCACAGCTGGTCCTGGTGTCGCCCACCTGGTTTTGCTGCTTTTCCGGGCCTGAGCCTAGATGTTATTTCTAGGGACATGAACTTCTGTGTCTGCTGTGAATTGCTCTGCTAGTTTGTTCAGCTGTCTCAGTTTCCCTATTCCTCTTGTCCTGGCTTGCTGGCCTGTGTCAATAAGCGCTGGTAAAAAAACACCAGCTACTTCTGGTGACCCAAGAACAGAAACACTGGATTAAAATGCGTCAACGTAAGAATCATCCAAACCTGTAGAAAAATTTTACCAGTTCATTTGAGTCAAACTGATGACAATTGCCGGGATACAAAAATCTCAGCAGATGGAGAAATGCTCTGGAGAACGGCAGCTTTACTGCTTCGTTTACACATTACAAAGGAAAGCCACAAGGGGAGGTACATGAAATCCACTGGTGGGTGTGGGGGGGGGGGGGGGGGGGAGGATCTCTGGAATTGGATAAAAAGTAAAATGGAGAGACATATTTCTTTGACATTGCTGGGTACAGAAAAGCTAACCTTTACAGCACATAGAGATGGTATGGGGGGGGACAAGGTAACAGTGAGGGGTTCTGCGGGGTTGTGCCCTGAGGGGCCTGGGAAAGGGAATTACTCTGATATTTCAAGGGAATGCTATCCTCGGTGCAAAAAGACAATCAGCAGGATCAGTGAAGGTAAGGACCCACCTTTGTCAAGGAAGATAGCGGCCCAGGCCCAGGACGAGACTGCCCGCCAGGACTTGCTTTAAATGAGTAAGTTTGCATTTCAGACCATAGCATAGGCGGTTACTTTGGGTCCGAGGCCAAGGCCCGCCATGCAGGCCTCCCCGGAGCGTGTCAGGGTTAGTGCGTGGCCCCTTTTCGTCCACGGACGGAATCAACACACCTAGCGGGTGCCTGTGTGTGTGCTTCCAAAGGCTTCACAACCAAGCTGCCTACAGCCCGGCCCCCGCCCATCCGCACACAATTCTCAAACACTCGCAGGAACTTCTGTGCCAGCGTTTCTCCCCCTGCAGGGCGCAACCTTGCTTCCCCGCCCCGGGGCCTCGGCCGGCCGGAAACAGCTTCTCTTTACCGGGCGTTGCAAGGAGGCCCCGCCAGAACGGATGCTAAAGGAGACGCAGAACCTCGCCTACAGAATCAACCCCTAACGTCACATCCGCCCCCTTCCCGGTGGGCTCCCTCTACCGGAAGTCGCCGGGGTGACGCGGCAAAAACGCCAGTCGGGGGCGTGTCCCCCACAGCCAATGGGCTTCGTCCACCTCCCCTTCCGTCACCGCGTGCCTGTGACGTCAGGGGCGGGGCGTAGAGGGAGGGACGGGAGTGGGAAGGCCGCTCCGTCGCCCCGAGGAGGGGAACGGGGATCAAGATGGTCTACATCGCGAACGGTGAGCGGGGGCCGGGCTACCGGGACCGCTGGGCCGG